TATTAATTTTTCCCTCAGCTGTTGCATCTGACCTTTTCCCATCTCCGTCCCTCCTTTCCCTTTTCTGCTATCTTTGTCTTCCTATTAATCCCCTTTAAAAATGCTCAACCTTCAATCCCTGTACACAAGATGAGAAGAAAGGATCCTGCCCTATGATTTAGGTTAGCTTGCCTAGGCTCACATACGACTCTGCGGCACAGCTGAAATGAATGATCCTGCTATGGGGTTGTTCTCTCCCCGTAGTCCCAAGGACAGGGCAGGACTGACCTCCTCTTCTGCCACAGTCGATGCAGCTGGCAAAAATCCTCAGCTGCAACAGCTGAAAATGTTTTTACAGGCAGCAGGTCACCAAGCCAGAACTGCACGCCTTGTGTGTCGTGTCACGCCAAGAGAAACCCCGCTGCTCCTGTACCGACACTCTTGTTCCGTGATCGTTCATCTATATTTGCTTGTCATTTTCACTGAGAAGCCTTTAAACTAAAAATAAAATCATTTTAAAATACAGCGTTAATGCACATACCTGTCTTTGCTCCAGCTGAGCACTAGGTAGCACTATCACTCTAAGAACACCCAGAGAAACCCATTAACAAGGCAATTGTTTTTCCCTTCTGAGACTGGAAGAGAAATGACTACATTATCAGAGTAAAACTGATATATTTGTAAAACTACTCCACATACAGCTACAGGTGCAGCATCCTAATCAGTTCCGATATAAAACCGAAAAATACCATTTTTACGTCAGAATTTGTGATCTCAAATCTTCACAAAGCAGTAGTGGGAATCTGCCCTGATGTTTTACGTTTGGAAACATTAATAAAAGGAAATATGATTAAAGATAATTATGGAACAAATGCGAATCATCTGAAGAGCTGGCACACGAACCCCTGCACCTGCCACCACCCTAAAAAACAACTGAAGCTGGCAATATTTAGTTGAAGAGAAGGCTCTTTGAGACACGTCTCTGAGACAGCATAAACATTAAACCTGGCCTCAAGAGGACAAAAAAAAACATGATAAGCTTTTTATGCCCTTTGCAACTTACTAAAATCTACTTTAGCAAGCGGTTCTGGATGGATGTGCACTGAATGTCACTGCTCCAATGCAGGTCCAGGAGGCTGTATTTTGGTGGTGTGCTCAGAAGTCTTCTGTACTTTCAAACACTTTGGAATGTATAATTATATTTAGAGCTTATAATTATTTTAGATTAATCACTCAGATCTTACTTCAGGTACTGTATACCTGAAAGCTTATCTTCAGAAGGCATCTGGGAGCAAATCATATGCTGAAAGAAAAGTATTTCATCTGCTAATATAATCATGTTTGAGTTGTAAAATGTAGCTAGGACTAAGGGGCCTCAAAGATTTCCTTCTATTCAGTATATCTAGCATCTAACAGTCGTTTTTCTCCTATTTTAATAATAGGACAGTTTTAATGAAGTATGGATGAGAAGAAAGAAGTCTTCAGTCATTAGGCAACAGAGGGCATTTCAAAGCTCACGTAAAGGAAAAACTCATTTTCTCCATTTCCAGGGTACAGAAGGGAAAAAAGTAAATTTCCCACTCCTCAACTGTAAAAATCTTCATCTTCCCTTTCTAGCAGCCACCTGTTCCCACATTCTCACTCACAAAACCATCACCTCGATGCAAGTTGATGGCAAAACTGGAAGCACTGAACGTTATAAATTCAGTTTGCAACTTCACTTCCTAAGATAGCTTTGTGCAAGGTAATTGTACTGCGATAATGACAGTGGCATGCAAAAGGTAAAGTCAGAAAAACACTAAACCTTTTGCGCTTGGAAGAACAGAGTAATCTCTTTCTCCCCATTCACCTCACTAGTAAATTCTAGACTTTCCTCCACAGATATGTAAGATTTTCTGCTGTGCCAGTGAAGATCCTATTTGCAAGACTGACAAAACACACATGCAAACTCCAACAAAATTAGAAGCCACGCTACAAATTTGAAAATAAGAGCTGGCGTGGGATTAACTGCTATACAGATAAACCAATATGGAAGGTGCACATTAAGCAGATCTTTGGTGTCAGCTCAGACAAGCAATCACGGACTACTCCTGCTGCCAAAGAGCAGAGAAGATATCGGGAAGGATTCCTCCCCCTTATCTGAGGGCTCCGCCCTAGTGCAGCTGTATGTCTTGAGAGCAGCAGAAAGTCACGAAAGCGGCAAAATTCAGATTTATGAGCTGCATCTGCATACCATTTTGAAGAAAGAAACTTGCTTTCCAGTAGAGGTGTACACACACACTACAGTTTGGGAATCTAACTGACACCATGGACTTGGGTGTTGGACGTCTGCACGTGCCATTTCAAGACTACGCAGGCAAGGAGAGGTGAGAACTCCTGAAGGTCAGATTCCGATTTGAACTTTCTTTTACAACGGTTAGAAATGAACATAAGTGCCATCTGGGAGCAAATTAAATTCCAGAGTTTGGCTCATTAAGGGAAATTTTGCTGAATACAGTCACTGTCTGAAGCCAGGACAACGTACATCTTAAAAGCTGAGTTGGCTACAATTGTCCTGCCTTTCCCTCCTCTTATTGTCTCTGGAACTTCATCACAACTAGCTTTCAAAGTAATTTCAAAAAAAGCAGCTAAAACTTCTCACCTTGCCCGTTTTTCAGTTATCTTCTTGAATCCCTCCTATCTCAGATCATCAAGCTTCAACACCTCAACTTCATCTTCAGAGGCCAGCATTCGGCGCTGCCCAAGAGCCTTTTTGCTACAGCATCTCTCTCTTTGCTCTGGTCATTGGCATTACCCAGTTCTTGCCTCTCACATACTAGCCAGATGCGTAAAAACTCCAAAGTCCACATGACAAGATACCCTTTACTATTCTGATCTCTTCTAATGGCCCATTTCCATGCTCCTCATTGCAAATGACTTACATGAAATCCATTTTTAAGGAAAAGTCAAGAAATAATGAATAGAAGGCCTCTCTCCACTTTCAAAGCCTCTTGATCATTTACAATTGCAGGGGATTTCACACAGCGCTGAGCACAGACACTAGTAAAAACATTAATTTATAGCCACAAGAAAATCCACTCATTCCCTTTGGGATTTTGACCTCTTTCAAAAATCCAGCACTAGTCCTATAGAAATTATTACTGTGAAAAGGGGCAAAGACAAAGATTTTCAAATGTTTCTTTTCTAGTTCTTGCATTATAAGGCTCTTACAACTGCTGCTACACCTTCCTCCTTTGGAGTGTTAATACTTCTCTGGCACGTCATAGTGTCATAAAAAAAAAAAAAAGTAAAAAAGAGCTACATATGGCACAGAGTGGTCCCAATCTCACATTCTTCCTATAAAAGAACCATTTCTCCCCTGTACATTTCCCTAGCCACACTTTTGAAACATCAGTCTCAAACAAGCCAGGAAATTTCTAGCCTTCCAAAAGCCAATTTTGAAAGTGCAGAATTAGCACAGAAGTCTTCTGCATCATTAGCTAAACTCTACCATCACTTGCAAATACCACTTTTAGATTTCTTTTAAGCAGAAAGTAGATATGCCGATTTAAAAATCACTCTTTCCAACAAAGGTACAGCTGCCCCTATTCCAAGAATACAAGCTCTGTAAGAGAGGGGGACATATTAAGTCCCACTGGAAAACTAGTTATAAATTTCTCCCTGTAAAGAAGACAAATCATCCTGCTAGACTGGTCTGTGACACTGCATTGAGAGCCTGGAGTTTGAAGTCTGATAAGAAACAGCAAGTCCTGAATACATTTTTTAGCTCATCTTCAATAACTTCACTTAACCATGAACATTTCCTAGCCAGGTTTCTATTAGTCTCTTTTAATATTCTCATGAAAGATTTAGCAAGTAAACACTGAATAAACGTGCTTCGGAAGTAACCTCACTTCAAAACGGTATGAATAATTTCATACAAAGGGCTACAGAACATGAAGGGACAAAGTATTTTTTTGAAAGTATTTTGCTTTCACAAACAAATTAAATCTCTTTGCACCAGTGATATAAATATTTCAGTATTATTTCATTTACTAAACTGGGAAAGTGAGGCAGAGCTTACATCTTCAGCAGAGCACCGTGTTCTATAACAGAGAGATAATCCTACTCATAAAGAAGTCTCAAAGTCACGGAACAGCTCCAATTAATGTATTGCATTTGTCTGAAAATATTGATTCTGTCTAAGGGAGCACCTAAAGCTGAAAAATTACAGAAAAAAATTCTCATCATCTGTACGTTTCATTATCTGTTGACTGATATTTTCAAATGTACTAACAGTAACTCAGACATGACCTCCTAAATCCCTTCAGTGCTTTGGAAGTCTCCTGTTTTGGTGAAAGTCAGTTTAACTGAGGTATCAGTTCTAGGAGGCAAAGTATGAACAGAAGCTTCACTGTAGATATACCGGTGTGTGTGTGTGCGCGTGTGTGTCACTCTCGCTCACAAGCCCCTCCTAAAAAATTTCTCCCTGTAAACAAAGTAAAAATTCTTTCAGAAGAGACTGTTTTCAGTTAAAAAAGCAAAGAGTGTTTTAAAAAAGCAAAGAGTGTTATATGGCGTGAAATCTCAAATAGGTAGCATTCACTAAATGCTGTTACTGCAGGACTGCAACGACAGGAATTGGTGAATTCAAAAAAGTGCAAGCTGACAATAAAGACATGGACAGTAACCAAAAACGTATTTGTTTTGATACACTAACCTGCTGCAACAAAACCAGACAGAATGGCCACGCTTGCATTATATATTGAACATAACGGAGAGAACAGGAACTCCAAAACGCAGGAGAATCTTTTGCAGCAAGAACGTGATGGTTAGTAAAATTCTCCTGTACCTCCTATATTGCAATATAATCCTGTGTTTGCCTTTGCTATCAGGTGTAGAGCGTGTGTGCGTGGGGGGGGGGGGCGCCTTCAAACATAAATTACCAATAAACACACATTGTATTTAGTGTCAGGGAATTAATTGAGCTTTCCGGAATGAAAGACTTTTGGCACAAAAATTAGAAGCCAAGGTTGACCTACCTGAATGGGTCCCACTGACATCAGCAGGTTTTTCAGTTGGACATCAGTAGTTGATGAAGAAAGCCCTTCAACTGACACAATACAGGGCTGAGGTTTGCACTCCACCACTCGCAGGTTCTGTTTATTTGGCATCAAGCGTCCTCGGCCCATCTGGCCTGCTACTCCTCTGCCTCTCCCATGCATAATGACCTGCCAACAACAAAAGTAACAGTATTTTGATTTACTAGCCTAGTGCTTCTGTTAACTACGTTTGACAGATAATACAAAAGTTAGCGATTTACTTAAAGACTTAAAGATTAAAGCGTGTGCTAATTTAAAACAGCTTGTTGCCGCTTGCTAATTCAAAAAGCCGCGTATTAACACATTCATCAACGGCTTGCACAACCTCTTTTAGAAGTATAGCAGGTTATAAACGGTACTGTAGGTCCACCTCAGCTTTTAGCACCGATCAACAAAGCGATGGAGTGCGTCAGACCAAAATACGTGTACGAAACCTAGTTTTTGGCACTGATTACGTTAGCATGCACGTGCTCAGCTCCAGCATGCTGAGTCTGGTCAAAGAAACGGTGAGCCCTCTCCTGCCTCCAGGCTCTACTATTACCAACTAATATCAGGACAGAGTATTCGCATATAGTAAATAACTTTAAAACAATTCGCCAAACTTCCTTTTTTCCAAAACGCCGTAAATCTGGCACCACTGGGTCTGGAGCAGCAAACGTGCGGCCATTCTAGTACATTAAAGGTTGAACAGCGACAAATGTCCTAACAGAGTTGAGGCTCAACAAACATTGCCATTTCCCTTGTAGGGGAGTTTCGGCTTGGAAGGGCTATTGATGGTAATAATGTTACAGCTGTCTGGACAGGAACAGGCAGCTTTATCCTGATGTGAAGCAAGGAGATTACAGCTAACAGTTCAAAACCATGAAACACCTCAGAAGTCAAAATCCTAGTTATTTTTGGGGAGCATCCAAGTTTGAAGAACAGAAGGTAAACGTCAGTGCCCTGTGTCGCTGCCCAGGGAGGACCAGTGTGAACATCTCATTACACCATCGCACACTATTTTGAGCAACACCCACTCTGAGAACTGACCCTCTGCGATCCCAAGGAGCATCCTGAAACAGTTGCAGTGTACTCTTTTTATAAAGAGTCAGGAAGTAGCCTGAACAAAAGCTTAAGCACAACTACTGTCCTCTTGGTTTTTAAAGTCAGAAAGCGTGCCAGATACAGCATCACAGAATGGTTGAGCTTGGAAGGGACCTCTGGAGATCATCTAGTCCAACCTCCCCTGCTCAAGCATCATACCATCTCCTGTGGCAGCTCTTTTGAGAAAAAAAAGTAGAGGGGGGGGGGGGGGGGGGGGGGGGGGGAACTCCACAAACCAATCAAAAACCTTTCAGGCGTGGCCAGTCTGGGCTGGATTCAACCAGGCCTCCACACGCTCAAAGCTTTACACCCAGCTACGTGCCTCATGGCGCACGCAGCCCCGCGCTGGCTACCGACAAACAGAACACCATTTATTCACGCAGCAACACAGCGATAAAGGTCCAGGCAACAACAGGTAGCAAAAAAAAATCACCTTTTTGGGTTAACAGATTCCTTAGATTCCCCTCTGGGTGCCAACAGCCAGAGGCGCCTCTCCCCTGCCAAAACCAGCACTGCAACACGGGGCTCGAGGCAACCGCTTGCCCCACGACACCTCCACTGACATCTGACTCCGTGAGCATGAAGGAAAAAAACCCTCACGGATTTGCCTAGTAAAACAAGCCGGCGTCCGGTAGAGAAGCGCGTAAGGGCTCAGCCTAGAAAACTATGTTTTAGTCTAAAATAAATCTGCAGTATCTGAAGAACAATTTACTTCATCTGAGCTTTGATATCAGTTACAATGTTCAATCACTTCTTTTCATATACAAATAGCATGGTATTTTGATTCATCTTGCCAAATCATTTTTCCTTCCAAGGTTACATGGGTTTTTTATATATAAATATACATAAAGGAGACGTGCACAATACAGAAGGAGGACCAAAGAATTACAAAGGCTGGAAGAAACAGTGGAGAACTCTGCCCATCTTTAAAACTCAAACGTCTCTCCTTGCACGAAAACTGGTATTTATTAGAAAGTCCATGTTTATGCTGCTGGCTTCTAGACCAGCCATCTTTTAAACAGTCTCCTTCCCCAAACACTGTCCATGATTGAAACAGTTCTTCTTCAAGAATTTTTTTTCTTTATTTTACAAAAACTTCCGTTACAAACGTTTAATACTCAAGGCACAAAGAAACAATAGCTCAATCCTTCCTTCATTCAATGACTTCTTAAGCAGAAGCATCGGAAGCCCTAACCCTTCCTGCTCCATCTCGCCGCACAGTGTAAGCGCAGTACAAACGCAAGCTGAAAGCCCTGAAAAGAGCTAAATGATTCACTTCCACTTCCTCTTCCTCTTCCACACAGCTCAACTATTTCTAAAAACAGCAGGACGGTTCTTTGTGTCCAGCTTTTCAGATCAGACTGGTCAACTGGAAACCATCCTGCACAGCAAGAGACAGCAGAAACGACACTTTATTTGAGCCTGACAAAAGATCGGGTATTTTTGGATCTTTGAAATACATGAAGTAGTTGCACGTTTTCCACAAGGTTTCAACAGCAGGATTTATACCTTAACCAGACTCCAACTTTAGAACCTAAATCTGTTAATATTAATGAACATTACTGTTGTTATTTTTAATGCATTCAAATACTATCGATGCATAGTAAGCGGTAACTAGGAGCATCCTTGGCCTGGGCACCCCACTGCTGACGAGAGCTCCCTGTCGCAAGGTGGCAGGAGACCCACAGCACTGACTGCTCGGGGAAGCCAGCGAAGCATCTGAGCCCCAGAAAGGACCCAGCAATGAAAGGAGAACTTCATCAGCTCTCCTAAACCATCACACCAGTGTAACACGTGAGTGTCAGGCTGAATAAGCATGCACAAGACTGTGGGGAAGAAAGCTTCATCTAAGCCTAGGAGAAACATCAGGTAGGCCTGTAAAAGGGCTCACACAGAAAGCATGTCTCAAGAAAAAAGTTATCATCAATTGTGAAAGCATCTTCATTCACATAGTTTCTTTCTCTTTCCTTGAAGATTTGCAAGTCAAAACTCCTTTGGCATCTGTAACAGATGTCAGTAACCAGTGGGATTCACACTAACTGGCAGGTTTCCTGTGGATAAGGAGATAAACTACTGGGCTGCACAAGAAGTAGGTTTATGGTCTAGACGCAACATTATCTTGATTGAGAGTATACAATCATTGTGTCTCTGCTGGGATTACACAGAAGCAAAAGGGCTGCTCGTTACCCAGTCTTCTCACTGTCATTTGAAGAGAAATATGCAGGTACAAATGATATCTAGCATGTTCTCCCGGAAGATAAAGCAATGTTTTAAAGTTGACTAAGGCAAAATTCAAATCCTCTAATCAAATTCTCTGTATTACTACTATACGCAAGCTACAGCTTCTCAAGAACTCAACTGTTTCGATCTCAAACAACTCCAATCCCAAACGAACTGGCTTCATCACTCCCTTGCACAGTCCACCTACCCAGAGCACAATCCGTCATACAGAAAATCTCAATGTTCCTCCCGCTCAAGGGCTTTCTTCTACAATGGCCAAAGTGAGAAAGCAACAGAAAACTGCAACTGCTTTTCCCATTTCTACCCAAGTAAGTTTTCAGTTTACTGAACTGAATGGCTCAGTATGGCGTGTGGCTTCACAATTTTGTACATAAATCTTTGAGATCAATAGCAAGCGAGAAATTGTAAAGCTTTCCCTTCAGACTCTCTTCAACTGCTGCTCAAAAAACGAAAAACAGCTCTTCTCTCTCCCTGCCCTCCAAAATCCAAACATATGCACACAAACAAGATCTTACCAGAAAATCTGCATTAAAGCCTCCTGTTTCGAGTATCAGTTTCAACATTAGCATCAACATAAGTCTCACTGGGATGTGGGCCTTATGCCTTTGTTAGATAACTTCTTTTATTCAACCTTACAGCAGCTGGAAGATTATGAAACTAAAAGGAACAAAAAAACCCTAGGAGGAGTTCAAATAAAAGAACTGGGAGTTAAAATCTAATCTATGTTAACTGCCTGCTGTGAAAAAAATAACCATAAATATTTGCTATCATTTCTTTCTCAAACCAAAAGATTATCCCAGTGCAAAGGAGGAGCATCTCAGAGCAAAGCCCTCAGGTACAAGACGCTTTGAACATAGTAATTACCGATACTTCAACAGCAAGCGGTTAGGTTAGCCAACAACAGCCCAATCAATCTTCACTAGCAAGCCCAATTACCACAGAATAAAACTGTTCAAACTCAACCAGGAAACGCACAATCACGAAAAGCCGTAACAGAATCAAAGAATCACAAGTCACAAACATGCAACAGAGGTTGAACATCTCCACAGGGTACGTTCCCAGCTGGCATGTCATCTACCCCTTTTGGTTTGATACTGCTAGCATAACATTCTTGCAAAACTCCCTGGGATGATGATCGCATGCGAAAAGGTGGAGGCACCTCCAGACTTTTTCCAAATTAATTCATTCTAGAAACATGAAAACTCATGCAATGCAATAAGGAAAATCCATAGCATAAAAACAGGAAAAAGGACAATTGGATGAAAACCCTGTGTTGTAATACTGCTCTGGATGTCCGCTGCTTTGCGAGATGATTTGAAGAGGCAGAGGTGACTCCATAGTACTGCTTCACCAAAGAGAGGCATAGAGGTGTGCAATAAAGTTATATGGTGCTAAAGGACTGAGAGTGCTCCACGCTCCTTTAAAGTTAGCAATACATTGTTTCATTTTACAGCTAGGCCTCCCTTGAACTGAAAGCACCATTTGGTGTTTTTCTTAAAGAAATGAAAAACAAATACTGCTCTTATGTCACTATCTACCTACAAGCAGGACAGTAAAGTCTCAGATGACAAATTTTAGCACCAGCTTTTTTCAACTGGTTAAAGGCATGACTATGTAATGACAAGTATTGTCTGAGCCCAAACGAACCAAATGTTTGTAGCAGTATTCAGTGCCATATTAAAACACTGGACTGTCCACCTTCCTCATCCTTTAAACTTATTCTATGCAAGCCAGTTATTGGCTTCCTCAGAAATGAAAATGAAGAACTAAGTCTCAAGCAAAGCACCCACAAAGAGCTTCCACTT